TTGCTGTTCTCTGTCAGGAAAAATCCTCCCTGGGCCCTGAAGGGTTTGTCCTCTTACCTCCTTAAAGTCTTCCCTCAGTAAGGTGTTCCCGACGCATTGTTTAATACTGCACCCCACCTCCCCACCCACCAAGGCCGCTTTGCTGCCACATTTCTTTTCACATAATTTGTGTCTATGTATTTAGATATACATATATACATAGATATATATGAATTTAGCCTGATCATGAGATGATCAGGGATAATTTTTTAATCTATCATTCCTTATCTACTACTTAATCCTTTGCTTGGCACATAACATATCCTCAGTAAACATTTCTTTGAGCATATTTAATGGAGGTGATAGTTGAAATTGTGAGCAAAAGTGAAATTTCCAAGAGAAAGAGAAATTCATTGTGATTTTCGTGAATACTGTTATTTACAAAGCCAGGCTAAATTCATAGGAAAAAGTTAAAAGTTGATTTTTTTATGTTTTCTTTCTCAACAAATATCTCTGATTATATTCTATTTTCCTTGTGCATTGACTCTTTTAATTTACAAGTAGCAAGTCTTCATCTGAAGTGGAGCCATTGTTTGTTCATTCTTATATAAATTCATATAAGTAACTATTCAATTGAAATATATAAAATCATTGTTTAATGGGTCAAAAATAGTCATCTATTGACAATTTCTATGGTTTACCTGAAAGTATAAGGATTCAGACCAAAGTCTCTCCCTTGCATCAGTTTACTATATTTTTACACAGCTCACATAGTCTGTGCTTCTTGGGATGAGTACCTTTTGTGGCTGGTGAAGCGGCCACACACATTTTGTTAAAGTAAACATAGATCGTCTCAGTGCAGAGTGCTGCCTCAGGAGGTAATGAGACTCCCAGCCCAGGGTACTATTTAAGCAAAGGCTATAAAGTCACCCATCAGAAAAGCCTTAGAAGGAACTTTTATATTCTGCAGAAAAGTGAACTCTGTTACTACCTCCATGTTCACTCCCAACTTTCAATTGCATTACTCTATGAGAGTTAAAATAATGAAACATCATTAAAATGTTAATTTGTTCCTTTGTGCCTATTCCACAATTGAATTTTCAAGTAGTTGATTACATTTCTCTCTGTGGACTCAGGAAACCATTAGTCTCACATTATCTAATTTATTAAACAAATTTTGGCCCTTACTACTTTTCCGTTAGTCCTTTTTAAACACACTTAGTTCAAATGAACAAGGCAGTGTTTGATGTTAATGAGCATCGCTTCCTAGAGGAAGAGCAGTGCAGGATTGCAGGTACGGGGGAAACCAAAGGTCAGAACTTCAAAACCTTGGAACTCTGAACCTATAGTCCTCTGCTTGGGTAAAACATGTCTCATCAGAAGAGTTTTACCTGCTGTTAGTGTGATGGTGGGCATTACGATGAATTTCAGTGTTAATATGAATACTGGTGTTAATATTTTTCTTACAGCTGATTTCTTAATGCTAACTTTTAAACTTAAAAAAATCTTTGAAACTAAGTGAGCTGAAAATACCTTTTAAAAATAAGAAACGCGTTTAGATTCTGGTGCACAGCAAATTCCCTGTGAAGAAAAGTTCCAAATTTGTGACTCTATTTGCATTTCCATAAACATAGAGTCTTTGTCTGTGCTTATTATGTGACAGATAACAGTGTTAGAAATAGGGTGTTTTAAGACTCTAATTATGCATATGCTCCCATTCTTGTTGGTGCATTTACAATGTGAAGCAATACAAAACTTGTACTTTGGGTTTAACAGCTTTTTTTAAAGCTGATATTTTAATGAATTTTAACTAACATTGACCTCATTTAAAGTAATTAAATCTTTTTAAAAGGTGCTAAGGTACCAGTGCTCAGTGGCAAGCAGATTCTGAGATGGAGATGAGCTGGCAAAATACGTATTAAGGGGTGTCCTGTGTATCAACGCCTGGGGAGGGAGGGCAGGAGCGAGGAATGGGAAAAGGGAGAAGCTGAGTTGTAATGCAAGCCCAGCAAAGGCCTCAGCCAGTGCCTCCGTGAGCTCTGTGGATGACCTCAGTCTGTAAAGTTGTCCGAATCTGGCTCAGGGGAGCACCCTTGAGAACCGCCCCCCCTCCGCCTGCCATTGATCAGAGAGATTGGATTTAGTCTCTGGGTTCTCACACTCACGTGAGAGTTCCAGGTCTCAGGTATGTCAAGGAAGGAGCAGAGAGTTGCAGAACTGAAAATGCAATGTGATCTAGGACCACAAATGAACAGGGATACCTGAGATTTATAATGTCCTTCGCACCTGAAGAAGAATCCAGTTAGCCCATCACACAACCAATACATATG